CCGATGACCAATTAGAAAATAGTACATTGTTTTTTTTTTATGATTGATATGTTTTCACTGATTATCTTTTCCAATGATAATTATTTTTTTTATGAATTCAAATTGGCTTCAACACATGTAAATGAATTTAATGGAAACAGGTGACTTGTTTGACCATTGCCTTTGGACCGTGCATGTGTGTATTATTGTCGGTTTTTTTTTGTGTACATAAATTTATATCTATACTGTATATTATTACACACGTCAAATAAAAACAATTCACTTGCTTTTTTCCTACCTAATAAAACAATCAAATTGTCATGTGTATATAGTTGTGTTCAGCATTTGATTTGTATTACAGGCAGAGATAACATTTCCTTCAGTTTAAATTAAAAGCAAACATAAAATCTGTTCGTGTAAATGAGTACATTTGTTTCCAATTTTAATCAACACCCAACACCTTAAATAGTTCAAACTGATATCATGGAAGGTACTGGCATGAATACGTGTTGTTTTATTTATATTTGTTGCTATGAAAATTGAAATAGTTTTAGATTAGATAATGTATGTATCTTCCTCGTACTTTGCACTGTTTCCTTATCTAGATTGTATTTTACGTTTGATCCATTTAGGTTTTATCAGTCCTTCAATGTTTGCATTATGTTTTGGACTCTGAAATACAGAATTTGGCCTCCAACATCAATAAACAGACATTGATTGTCGAATTGCGTATCTGGTGTAGTACAATTGGTACCATTTATGTTATTGTTAACAGTTGTCAACATGTCAGTCATCTAGATATGTCCTCTCCATTTCTGTTGTCTAGTATTTCGTTTCTGTAAAATTAAAATAAAATAACCATACATTTGTTTCGTTCACAACTGTTGAATTTACCTTCATTAGGAACGCTTAAACCCCTTAATATGGAAGCCAGCGATGTTTAAGGAGCTATATGTTCAAAAGGGACATAAAAGAACAGCTATTTTAACTAAGGGTCAACTTTGCCTGAGGAAGGTTACACCTTAGTTACAGAAGAATGTCTCAATTTAATTTGGTTCGTGTTGCTCAGTCTTTAGTTTTCTATGTTATGTTTTGAGAACTACTGTTTGTCTTTTTTCTTAGTCATGGCATTGTTAGTTTATTTTCGACCTGTGAGTTTGAATGTCCTTTAGGTATCTTTCGCCTCTCTTTTAAGAAAGTTTTTTTTTTTTTTATAAATAATGTAATTATCTTTTTTTCGTAGCAAGATATCTGACGTCTGTAAGATTTGATTCATAAACTAATATTTGTTCGTGTCTGTTTTTCTTTGACTTACGATTTTTAGCTCACCTTCCCCGAAGGGCCTTACTTTTCAAGATGTTGACATATAATTCCTGTTTATTTACACCAAAACATGTAATTATTCTCTCTCCTAATGGGAGTAAGTGCCCTTAAATTATGATTTTTACAATATTTGTTTCGATTTTGTTTACTATTTTGAGATAATATATAAAGAAACTTTGAATAGCAAAAATGATCAGGAAGACAGGATCTACAAATAATTCAAATGGCCGAAATCGTCAGTCAACTCCGTATAAGAATTAATGCCTTTTAGTGATGAGTTTTATAAATTGTTTACGTCTTGGTTATAATCTTCAAAGAAAAATTGATATATAGACACTCAAAACACCAAAAATGATCAGAAAGATATTCAAATAAGTCAACATAACCGACATTGTCGGGAGAATACTTATAGGAGTCAATAAGTCATAATAGCAGAAATCTTCAGTCTAATGCATATAGAAATTATTGCTCTTTAATAACGATTTTTGCATTTTTGACGAAAACTACAGTAGATGACGAATAATCAGAAAAAATGATCAGCAAGACAAAATCTACAAACAGGTCATCATTGCTGAAATTGTCAGTCATCTCCTTATAGGAGTTATTGCCTTTAAATGAAGTGGTTTACCCATTTTGCATATCATACTTTACCAGGTAAGATTGACACAGTTGTTACTCTTTCTTTTTGTTTTAAAGAATTTCAAATATATGTTAGTGATACATTTGCTAAGATTGAGAATTATAGCAAAGATGATTTTAGGAAATTTATCACCGAATTTGAAAACTGAAACGAATGACACATTTGAAAAGGTATATAATCCATCATAATTTTCCATTAATTGTTGTATAATTAAACATGTTAAAGGTCAAATTTTGATTTTTCTGCTTATTACAGTTCTTGCAACCTTAGATGTTACTGTTTGACGTTCACTTGACTGATTAGTAAATAATCGGTAACGTGAACTTGACTGGTATTTGAATGATCGGTGATCAATGAAATGTAGCTTATTTGACTAATACATGTTATATGACGGATTTTAACAGCTGCAGCTGTTTTACCCATTTACCAAGCAAAACCATACGGAATATTCGTGTCGTCATTTTTTCTACTCCTTCGTGTATACTTTGTGACTGAGTTCGTTACAGTTTATAGTTCTTAAATATTATATCAGATGCATCCAGTGTAGTAATGACTCTCTTATTGAAGCCACAATTAGCTTTAGCACCTAAATTACGTAGAAACGACATACAAGGTGCGTATTTGTACATAAAATATAATCTCGGACCTAGTTACAAAAAAAAAACAATAAAACATCCTTATGTATGTAGCAGTTTTTTTTAAACATAGAATTGCAAATTCCAAAAGATTCCTTTCGTTTTAGCAATTCTGAAATTACTTCTTTTAGTGGTTTTCAAAACATTTTGCTAAAAGATGAATACAACAATAACAAAATGTTTCAAACAGACCGATTAACAAATTCCTACCGACATAGAAATAAAACGACCCTTTAACAAAGATGTTTAGAAATCGTTTAAAAATCATGTTGAAAATTTATTATAACAATGATTATCGCAATATTTTGTTTAAAGATAAATGCAGCAAATGCATACTGTTACACTTGAATTTAAAAACAGGATAACTACTTCCGAAAACTGATCAGAAAAAAATTGAAAACAACACCGTTTAATAATTTCATGCGTCCGAAGCGCTTTTCTGGATTTACCTTCATCCAGAAACTTATGAGCTTATTGACCGGCTTCATGAATTTGATACTGAAATATGGTACATACAAATGTACAATAAACAAAATATTTCTAAATGTATATAGTAGGCTTAAATTTTAAAATGATAATACGAAGCGGAAATATATGTCTTTTTTCCTCGTGTTACTGGAATTTTTAAATCAATAGTTTCTTTTCATTGTGCGCCTTAAAGTTCTGTGTTTATCGAATATAATTTTATTATGTTACTCAGCGTATATTTTTCAAACTCAGCATTAAATTGAACAAGGATTAAAGAAAACCGATACGTGACAATTTGAAGATTAAATCAGATGCAATAATTCGAAATTACTTCGAGATTTTGGGCGAAACAGATTGCTATTATTTAGTGTAAAAGTAGCATACGTAGAAAAAAGAGTTTGTAACAGTCACGATTGTTTCGTAGACAGAAATTCTTAATGAAGATGTCCATGTCATTGTTCAATAAGGAAATCAAGTTCAACAATTATTGTTTAGAAAAGATAAATATCAACATGTTTGACAATTATAGTTTGTATTACGATCGAATTCTCGTTTTGTTGAGCCTTCAATAACCAAATATGCATAGCGAAGCAAGATTACTTGATCAGGTGGGAATCACTAAAAAAAAACAGATTCGGGTTTCATTTCTTCGAAAGAATATCATAATAAATACGATATAAAGTTTCTTGAAAGAATGAAGTATCAATTATTTCATCATTTGAAAGAAATACGCAGTACATTATTTGTATATTTTCACATCATGTACCCTGTTCATTAAACACACATCGGTGTGGTAGACTGATTGATGAATTGTTAAGGCGCAAGAGGAAATTTTTTTTCATGCCATATGAAGAGGTATTTGATGACACAGACGAGGATGAGGCCTGAAAAATTTTGTCGAATAATAGTAGCATATTTTGTCTTCATCCATTTTACTTTTGTCCTCCTCAGAAATCAGTCAAAAACATTAAGTCGTATCTATTACCACATGTGCCATTAGATGAAGAGAAAGAAACAGTTTTTAGAAGGCTTTCTGTACGTTTGATGAGAGGTCGTTCCATTAAGCGTTATAGGACTGAGTAGAAAAAACGATAATCATTTTGTCGACTTTCTGAACTCCCATCTACAGGAGGAAATATAACAGAGAAGTCAATATACAATTTAACTGGTTTGAAAATATTTCTAAAGTGAAAATTGATTACATTGCTCGCTTATTTGAAAAAAAAAACAACAACATAATGTTATTGTATAATCTAGCAACAACTGCATACAACTGTAACCACTAACTTTTTCATTATTTTTATTCAAATGTATGGAGGAAATTAACTAAATGGTCAATATGTGATTTGCACAATATTTCTTCGTCTAAAATGTCTATTGTCAAGAAATCTACTTTCATTTTCAATTTCAAACACAAAATTTGTATAGGCAATAAAATTTGGTTTGACAATAGTTCATGACAAAAATGTAGCCTGGGACATTTTATCGCATAATAGTATCATATTCTGGTTTTCAATATCAATTATAAATTTCCTGTTACAAAACATTAAATTTTTCGGAAAACTAAGGATTTTCTTATCCCAGGAATAGATTACCTTACCCGTATTTGGCACAACTTTTTGGAATTTTGGGTCCTCAATGCTCTTCAACTTTGACCTTGTTTGGCTTTTTAACTATTTTGATCTGAGCGTCACTGATGAGTCTTATATAGACGAAACTCGCGTCTGGCGTATTAAATCATAATCCTGGTACCTTTGATAACTATATTCATTCATTTTAATGACCAAATGGTCATTTAAACGGTGTTTTTGAAAAAGTCATTCCTAGCTAATTTTCCGGAAATCTTCTTTCATTTTTAATTAGGTATACTTAAATATCTCGCTATGGTATATGTACAGTTATGCAATAGTGATGACTGAATCGATATTTATCGTCACGCAAATCTTAATCTAAATATGAATAAATAGTGTTCTGTTAAAGTTTTTGTATCATTACGCACAGAGAATAAATTGCATTTTGCATATTATACTTTACCAGGTAAGTATGAAACAGTTGGTACTCTTTCTTTTTTTAAGAAAATTTCAAGTATGTGTTAATGATACATTGCTAAGATTGAGAATTATAAACAAGATGTATTTTAGGAAATTTATCACCGAATTTGAAAACTGAAACGAAAGACACATTTGAAAAGGTATAGAATCCATCATAATTTTCCATTAATTGTTGTATAATTTAAGGTCAAGTTTTAATTTTTGTGCTTATTACAGTTCTTGCAACCTTAGATGTTACTGTTTGACGAACGCTTGACTGATTAGTAGGTGATCGGTAACGTGAACTTGACTGGTATTTTAATGATCGGTGATCAATGAAATGTAGCTTATTTGACTAATACATGTTATGTGACAGATTCTAAAAGCTGCAGTGATCGATCAGTCAATTAATTATATGCATGATTCAGACGGATCAATATTCTGACGTAAAACGTACTTCACAATATTTCTAATTGCAACAAACGAGCAACCTCTACGCAGACATGGGGCATCGGTGGCCGAGTGGTCTAAGTCGTCGAACTACTGTATCACTAGCCAATCAACACTGAGGTTGGGAGTTCGAATCTTAATTGACTAGGATTGTCAGTTTTCCTACCGAAGGTCGGTGATTATCTCCGGGAATTCCGGCTTCCTCCACCAATATAAACTGACCGCCATGAAATTGCACAATAGTGTTGCAAGTGGCGTTAAAACACCAATTAATCAATCAATCTACGCATACACCTTTAATTTGTATCCAACTTTGTCTCAATGCCATATGAAGAAACGTATTACTTTACATGCATTATTTGGTCATTTTTCATTGATTATTTTATATTCCTGCTTAATGTAATACTTAATTCCATCATAATGACATACTCATCAATAAATCGTGCCAAAATATTATTATATGAAATCGGAACTCTCTGTATCTCAGTTTGCTACTTTTAATAACTCTTAATTAAAAAATAACTTGATCCAAGTGAGTATGAAATCAAAGTTCCACCAAAGGACAGTATACTACGCCTATTAAGGCTTATTTTAGAGAACAATGAATTTATTTTTAACAATAAACTTTACCGTGAAACCTTGGGCGTGCCTATGGGCGGATCAGCATGCGCTGAGTTAGCAGACCTTACAATGTTTGTTATTCTTGAAAACATTTTACAACGCTTTCAACACAGAAACAAATTGATAAAATGAAATACACGAGCTATTTACAATAGCTAATACCGTGCACCCACACTTGAAGTTCACCTACGAATTTTCCCGTAATGAAAAAATATTCTTAAACACTGTCATATACAAAGGAGAAAGATTCTTAAACGAAGGCATACTAGACATTAAAACCTATATCAAACAAACCGAAACATTTCAATATCTGCAAAGACACAGCTCACACCCAAAAGGTGTTTTCAAAGGATTTATCAAGGGTGAAGTATTGAGGTACATCAGAAACACAAGCTGCAAAACTGAACTTAAATAACAGTTGGACGCTTTTAAAATACGTCTCCTCAAACGAGGAAATAAAATATCTGAAATCAAAGAAATTTTTTATCAAACACAAAATACAGAAAGGGAAAACTTGCTTATACAACGCCCAACGAAACGGGAGCAACCACTAGTAATGTTAACAAAATTCAACCCATCTATTCAGAAACTAAAAAATATAATAATGAAACACTGGAATCTTATTTCACAATACCCTGCATGTGTGAAGATATTTAATAATCAGCCCATTATGGCTTATAAAATACATAAAAACTTACAAGAACTATTTTCAAAGCATGAGCTGGTATAGTCCGCTCGACTTTTCACAACACAATATGATACTGAGCTCGTAAAAAAAATAAACTACTATTTTATCTAAAGACAACCGGTGTATGGTCCAATATAGCATACGAAATAAAACAAAGAAGCATAAATAACCCGCCAATATACAACTTATTGAGTTGACCACAGATGAAGCCGGACTCGGGGATTTCCCTAAATCACGGCAGAAACACCGGGCCTAAAATTTTTGCTCATGGGTGAGCTCGGATGCGTTTATTTAAAAAATCAATGTTTACATGTCGTTTAAAACAGTTTTTGACTACATGTCAATATAGACCTTGTGTGGGTTAATTGTTCATAAAACTAGATAATAAAATTGTGGATTTTATTGTTAATATTCAAGGAAGTTACATATATTGAATAAAATGATTATAATATGATTATGAATCAATTTATTTACCTATTTATATTACAAAAACTCAAAAGTCGCTCAGTTACAAACGTGATTAAATTCAATAGCCCCTTAGTAGACCATTTTATTTTCAATGGAAGGGTGATATTTTGCTGACAGAAATATTCATTTTACACCGGTTAATAGCTTATTGATTTTGCGCGAAATTTTTTTTTAACTTTTTGTACACAAATATTTCAGCATTGTGTAGGACAAAATATTCATTTTCATCATGTCTTGGACAAGGTTATTTTTACAGTTAGTACCAGTCCAGACTATTCATCTCCAAAATCACTCAATGTGTGACTGGAGGATAGAAATATGCTCGCTTAGGTATTCTTCAGATCGACCGTAAAACCCTTGGCAAAAAGGGGCGTCCGTTTGGCTGTGCGGAATGTACAAGCACTCAGCCACGTCAGATCAGTAAGGGAGCATTTAATCCAATGTCTCTTGTAGAGATAGTGCCACGCTCTCTGCACGTTAAGAATCTTTGCAACAACTCTTTGAGGGGTCAGTAGGTGGCCTGTTGCAAGGCAAAATTTCTGTCCCTATCAAATATATACTCATTTTCTAATGGCAGTCCAAATAGCCCCGGTGTTCATCTCAAACGGCCTCTATTACAGGACATACCCATTGTATTTATTGTGAATTTATTCTCGTCCTGAACATGCATGAACTATTTGCCACTGGACGTTAAGCAACAATCAATCCAAAATCTTTTTTTCGCCTATTCTTACGCAGCTGTAGCCTACGTAATCGTGAAATCTTTAAAACTCTAAAAGTTCTTCAAATCAATGGAACGATGTTCTTAAGGTACCGACCATTCATTTTCGTGGGACAACCCATTTTTTTTACTTAAATAAAAAATAATCATTTTTTTCAATAACATTTAAAACTCCGCATTGAACCCCCTCCTTTAATTTTCAATGGAATCGGACGATTTGCCTCATTTCCCTCTTGAAAGAAATGTATTTTCTCTTTAAAAAATATTTCAAACAATATATATCAATATACCGATCGTCAATTTTAATAGTAAATTAAAAGTGGAAAAAAAAGAGAGGTAACACACACTCACAAAGAGAATCAAACGAATTACAAAAGATGCGATACCGGGTTTGCAGCCAGGTTGAACGTTTCTTGCTATGCATGTATTACCCGCCATGCGAATTTAAACTCAGCAAAAATGTCGCAATCGGAAATAGGACATAACAATTAAAATTACAATCAAGACTACTATCATATATCAGATAAGGACAACAAAAACATTTTGCAAGAGGGTTGAGACACAGACGTATCGTATAAGTCAACCAATTCAAGAATATAACTACATTTTAAATAACTTATGATCATCCCGGTGTTTGGTGGGATTTGTTTTGCTCAGACTTTTGTTTTCTGTATTGTGTTTTGTATAATGTTGTTTGTTTGGGTTTTTTTTCTTTCTTTTTTTGCCATTGTGATGTCAATTTATTTTATACATGAGTTTGAATGTCCCTTTGGTATCTTTCGCCTCATTTTTATGAAGTGTATATTTCTTTTTTTTTATAATGAATTTTCTCTATTGTAACAAATAGACTAGCACAACATGTATGAACAAAGGTATACAGAATGGCATATTCACACAAAGGAAGTATTAAATAATAAAACAACAATTGAACATATAATGGTGCAACAATAGGTTAAACATAAATTATTATCTAATAACAATGGAATCTAATTCGTTCTTGCAATATCTATTTGTGGTGTTTAAATCAAAATTCGACATTTATTAATTATTCTATAATAGGGGCCCAAGGACTCTAGTATTTGTTATATTCCTCTACAAAGAGGTTTTTAAATGAAATGTATTTTTCTAAGTTCAAGTGTTCCTTTAAATAGTTTTTTAAAGCATTACAATTTGGCAATACTTCTTGTAAATTTGTTCGGTAAATATCGTATTTTGTAAGCAGAATAATCTTATTTTTAACAAAATTCAATTTAACATTTTCGAAATACCAAATAGAATAATCTTAATATTCAAAGGCAGTTCAATATTTGTCATTTCAAAAATCAAGTTGTTTAGTGCATGCCAGAGACTGGCGACCATCGGACAGCTCCAAAATAAATGTTCTATAGTCGCTGGTTCTTCTTTGCAAAATTTACATATGTTGCTACTATTTATTTTTATCTTGTAAAGTAGTGAATTAGTTCCTAAAATTCTATGGATAATTCTATATTGGAACCAGCAAAGCTTAGTGCTTCTAGTATATTTTTTACACGAAGTGTGTATTTTTTTCCAGTTAATACCAGTCGTATTAAGATGGTTCTTCCATTTTTCCTTTGCAGAAAAGTAATATATTTCTCATTCAATACTTTGTACATGTCTTTTGAACCTTTTTGATTCAAAGAAAATACTTATATTAAAAGGTAGTATTGCTTGAATTTTTTTCTCCTTTACTTTAATATTGATTGTGTTTAACCACTCATTAAGCGAGTGTGCTATTCCATAATAATGTAAAACATTTGGCCTAAATTGTAATAATTGTTGGAAATTTTGAAATGACATAATTTTGCCCTGGTAATCTAACAGGCCATGCACTGTCCAAATTCCAGCTTTAGCCCAGTTTTAATAGTAGACACTTGAACCACCAATTTTAATGTTTTCTCCCTCCCATAAAGGATAAGATAGAACTTCATCAATACATCTTGGTTTTCTAATTTGATTAAGTGTATATTTCAGTCGTTCTTCCTTATAAACCTGTTGGAATAGTTTTTAAAACAGACATGACGATATATGAGGAAAAAAA